CCCGATTAAATGAACACTTGGAGGGACACTCACAGGAACCTAAAAAACACAGGTATCTTTAACTAATTATTTTTTAATATCAAAGCCTGCACGATCCAGCCCTATTAACTTCAGCAATGACACGTACATAAAAAAACTAACACATGATACAGGCACGTCGGCACTTTACACCTACAGGCGAACGTTCAACTGAACATCAAAAATGCCAATTATTTGCACAGAAGTCCTCTGGGAAAATATTATATGCCTCTGAAAATCAAACAGGAGTCACAGAAAAGGCAACTTGCAACATACCGATATGACTGCCAAATATTTACTACGAGGGAATTTGAAACCCATGATGATTTCCATGGAATAGGCTCTACCTTGCAGCAAATTCACGGGTCTCAAATTGCCTGCAACACACCACAAAGGAAACGCGCGAGACAGTTGCCTTGAGCTTTAATTCAGATTCAGGTGGGAACACGTTTTGTAGGAACGTCTCTTCTCTCTCAAAAACCCTTAACCTAAGAGCTTGTGTGAGACAGCAAATGTGTAAAATTTAAAATATACACATAACAGGAAAGCATTTAATGTAAGAAACCATGTTGATTAACATGATGTTAATAATATGTACAGGTTAGGATGCTTAGTGATTAAAACAATTACCAAATTAAGAAACTTAATAAAACTAATTTAACTCAGTATAATAAATCTTAAAAAAACAACAACACATAACCACAGTACAAAGGATATCATAAATTAACCGTCTCAGGGGCCTTCCCCCCCCCCAAATGGACGTGTTTTTTTATCCAAATTATAAAAGTTACACCAAGTTATCATTAAAACATTTAGCACAGGAACATGTAAAGTAGAAAAAAACACATAATCCTACCCTCTAGAAAACAATTGCTGTTAAGATTTTAGTTAGTTTTTAAAAAAATAAAATAATTGTTTATACCTTGGTTTTCCTTTTTTTAAAAAAATCTCTATTGATTTCAGATAGAGGAAGGGAGAGGGAGAGAGATAGAAACATCAATGATTAGAGAATCGTCATTGATCAGCTGCTCCCCGCAAGCCCCCGACTGGGGATCGAGCCCGCAACCCGGGCCTGTGCCCTGACCGGGAATCAAACCCCTATCGCCTGGATCCTAGGTCGATGCTCAACCTCTGAGCCACACTGGCTGAGCAGTTTTCCTTCTTAAATTTAATAATATAAGATAAACATGTTACCACAGCAGCAAAGCATGCCCGTATCATGACACAGAGATCTGATTTATTTAACTTCACATTACGGCTGTTTTTGGTGGTGCATTAGCATTCCTTCACCCTAGCATGGGTCCACACAGGTACTGGCCCTCCTGACACTGTCCCCGGTCATGAAACACCTGGGGACGCCCACCTGTTCATCCTCTAGAACAGTTCAAATAAAACAGCCCCCATACTCTGCTCCCTTGCCCCTTTATCCATAAATCCCCATAAAAATCTGTGCATCTTACTGAGATTACCAGTGTGGCCAAATAAAGTGGCTTGTAATTTCTCAAATGTCTCTGCCCTACGCGGAGTGCTCCCCTGTCACGACCATGTCAGTCTCACCCTGTGTGGCATCCGGCCCCTGCCCAGCCAGCACCTGCGAGACAGCCACCTCAGGGAAGCTACCGACAGCGTCAGGGTGGTCGCCTCCTGTCCTTCCGGGGCACCCCAACCCTGAGCGCCCCACGCTGTACTGGAGCGGAGCTTACTCAGCGGCAGCCCCGCACAGCCGAGAGCCCCTCGTGAAAAAACTCGCCCCCGCCACTCGGCACAATGCCTGGCCCGGAGAAGCCCCCGGCACATGTGGGGAACATGAATGGGTGATGGGCTCACGGACGGATGGAACAGGGAATGAAGAGATGAGCGTGTCACCTGGACCACAGGCATCCCCAGGACCTCACAGAAGCACACCCTGTTCCGAGGGTGATTGGCCTGATCGGAACTCGTCGTATCTAGTCACCGCTCAGCACCAAGGGGGAGGGCTTATCCACAGGGAAACCAGGAGGAGCAATTTCTCTAGCTTAACATGTTAAAAAATAATGACCATAAAGCAGTGTTTACTTTGAGTTTCACACTTGACAAGCTAAGATGCATAACTCAAGAGAGTGAATGTACTTTAGGTCTGAATACTAAAAGACTTGTGTTCAATGGTGTGCCATTGAGAGAGTGCTGCAAACGGTTCATTAAGAGAAGGGAAATTATTCCATTAATGGAAAATCATCGTATTAGACGGAGTCTCACACACAGCATTTCTCTCTCGTCCCAGAAGCTGAAAGTGTGCGGTCAGCACCAAGTCCACATCGAGTGCACTCTGCCCAGCCTGCGCCAGACAGCCAAGCACGCCAGCGCCTCCAGCTCAGCCTGTCACCGGCAGAAAAGCTCTTTCTTAGAACTGATGGAAGTGCTATATTAGCCTTTTATACAGGCTGGCGGCTCGAACCCTGCATGCTCAATTATGCTAAGCAGAAATATCCTTCTTCAGCGTTCTGAAAGCAATGGGTTTCTAAGAGGGCTGCTTCAGACATTATAAATATGTGAAATGGACTCTGCTCTCTGTAAGACACAGAAATTATCATTTGTCTTCTCCTACTTGCATCAAAGCTGACACTGAAAAACAATATCTGAGATTTTATTTCATATACTTTATTTCATGTACCTATTCATACACAAGAGGGTATTAATTATAGATTAATCATCTACTAGGCTGTGAACTATCTGAAGACAGGCAGCACATGTTCTTCTTTCTATCTACTGCATATAGAACGCACAGGGTATATTGGGCACAGTTACCATTTTACAAATTTTCCATGAGCCATGCTTCATTTAGTAATGACTCTACGACAGGGTCACAACATAGTCCTCTGTTTACTGAAAATGTGTACCTTCAGTTCTGTAAGTATGACTGAGCTCCTCCCAGGCTGAACATCTATAGATAGTAAGCATGAGCCCTTAAACCCTAAACAAAATATAAAACCCAACTTCCTGAAGCCCGTGGAGAGTGATCAGAAACAAGGAGATTCTGGAAGGGAGTCAGACTTGGAAGAAGGGAATGGCCTGGGTGAATTGACTGATTTTAGATTTTTTAGCCTGAGCAGCAGAGTTTGAGGCTACCACAGCAATAAAATGGGAGACCTCTCTAGGAAAGATAAGAGTTAGAGTTAAGGAGCTTCAAACTTTGGGGATAAAATCTGCCAAAATCTCAGGCTGACCCCCAATCATGGATGCCAGAAAGTAAAAATGCAAAAGTCAAACTAAGAAAAGAACTGAACTGAGACCCCACACTCCCACCCAAGAGACAAAGTCTATGGTCTGAATCCAAAAATATGCACACTCCTCAAGGGGAGAAAATGGAACCCAGACTTTCCACAATATAACACTCACAATGTCCAACATACAACCCAGAATTACTCAACATACAAAATACTGGAACAATGTGACTCATTATCAAGATAAAAGATTATCAATTCAAGTCAAATCTAAGGCAACAAAGATTTCAGAATTAGATAGAGGCCTAAAGCATTTATGTTAACTGTGCTCAATGACATAAAATTACACCTGCAATGAATTTAAAGAATACAATGATAAAGTGTTTTTAGTGGAAATACAGGAGGCTATCTTTATATTTAATAAAGGACTTTAAAATTTCCTTGAGTTTGGCAAAGATCTCTCAATTGGTAAAAGGTAACAATAGAAAAGAAAAACCTGACATATCAGATGTCATCAAAATTAAAAACATCTACTTATCACAAGATTCCATGAAGAAAATAGTAGGCAAGCCATAGACTGACCCAAATACTCGCAAAGCATATATCTAACAAAGTATGTGTCCAGGATATGTTAAAAAAAAAGCTCCTTCCATTCAATTATAAAAAGACATACATCCCATTTAGAAATAGACAAAAAATCGAAAAGGACACTTCACAACAGGAGATAAATGAACAGCCAATAAGTACATGAAAAAGAATACAAAATCATTAATCATCAGGAAAATACAAATTAACACCACAAGGAAATACCACTATATAATACACTAGCAGAAAATGGCTAAAATTAAAGAGATTGATAACATCAAAAGTTGGCAAGGACATGGAGCAACCACACTTGCATGCACTGTCCCTGGAAATGTCACAAGGTATGACCATTTTGGGGGAAAGGTATGACAATTCCTTGTAAAACTAAATGCACAGCAATTAAATTCCTACATATTTACTCAAAAGAAATAAAAATATGTGGTCATAAAATTATTTGTATGAAAATGTTCACAGCAATTTAATTTATAATAACTCACACTGAAAAGTATCCAGGCAAATGGGTAAATTGTGGTCTCCTCGGGTAGTGGATTACTATTCAGCAATCTAAAGAAATGAACTATTGAGATATACAATAGTGTACACGAATCATGTACATGGACTCTCAAAAGAAAGAAAAAAGAAAACCAAGGTAAAAAGAGCATCAATTCACGCCAAATCTAAGACGACCAAGATTTTAGAATCAGAGACTTTAAAGAACGTATTGTAATTGTGCTCAATAGCACAAAATAACACTTGGAATGAATGAGAGAAACAGAACTTCTTTAGTAGAATAGATAATTAGAATAAATAGTATTTTGAACATGTATATGCTAAACCCTGTGCTAAGCATTTAACATGGATAATCTCATTTAATTCTTAATCCAACCTCATCTTACAAATAAAGAAACTAAAGTAAAAAGGGGTGAGATAAGTTGTCCAAAGTCACATTGCTAGTATGTCTCATAAGCATAATTTTTCAGGGCTCCATATCTCAAACTAAACACAAACAGTAAAGACAGGATCACTAAATACATTTTTAGTTAATTTTACGTCTGGTTGTGTTGCGGGGCTGGGGGGGTGGGGCATTGGACTGTGCTAAGAGAAAGCACCTCAAGAAAATATTGAACAAAATGTAAGTGACACAGCTGCTCCCTGTGGTGAAGCTGAGCACCCCTGCGGTGGGCCTCACTGTCTTACCTTAGGGAACTGTTTTACAGGAATTAACACTTTCTGTCCCAGCTTCATGTTCTTATTAATCACCACATCAATGTACTTCTCTTCGTCCTTTCCTTCTCCTTTTTGAAACTTTTCTATTTCTGTGGAGGAAAAAAGATAACCATGAAGTGCGTGGCTTAGAGCTCCAGAGGCTGGGAGTTCTCGTTAGCTCTAAGTGGCATGAATCAAGTACAGAAACACGGACCACTAGGTTGCTACAGTTCTCCAAGTATCGAAATGGCTCCCATTTTATCAATAATTCGTCACCAGTACAATGGGAAAACTGCATATATCATGGCTCTACCCAGTCAAATCTCAATTGCCCATGCTAACGGAAGCTAACACAAACGTCAAAATAAGCTCCTTGGGGCCTTCTAGAGTCCTGGAGAAAGGCTGAGCAAAGAGCAAAGAGAAGCCAGAAAGGATTCTCAGGTCCGGGCTACAGGGTGCTGGCATCCCTGTCCGTCACCCTGCCTGGCTCTCCAAGGCTCACTGCATCAGGGATTCATTCTTTAGGTGGCTTTAAAAGCCCCAGAAGATCTCTGTCAGTTGCCCTCCCCAACCAACTCTTCCCTCCTTACCAGGGACAAGATCAACCACAAGCTCTTGCCTTTGCTAATGCTCTTCTCACTACCTGCCATGCTATTTGGGTGATTTCAATTTCATACGTATCTCCTTCAGGATTCTACCACACTAAGTGGCACTCTTTATGCCCGTGTGTCCCTTTCCTCAATGAGGCAGCAGGAGCAGGACAATCGCTCCCTCCCACCGGGACTCTCACAAAGCACTTCACACACAGCCCTAAGGGAACTCTCTGCTGCAGGTGGTGTGTGTGTCCCCACCCCAATCCATATTTTAAACCCTGACGGAATTCAGAGGTGGGACCTTTGGGAGATGATTAGGTCATGAGGGTGGAGCCCTCATGAATGAAATTAGTGCCCTTATAAGAGCCCCGCCCCCCCCTGAGGACACAGAGGAAAGACTGCCATCCATGAACCAGGAAGCCCTCACCTGACACCAAATATGCAGGTGTGTTCATCTAGGACTTCCAGATCTGTGAGAAGTAAGTTTCTGTTGTTTATTAGCTACCCAGCTTATGGTATTCTGTCATAGAAGCCTTCGTGGACTAAGATGCTCTCCCACCAGAACCTAAATTTCTCAGATAACATCTGTTTCTTCATTCAACAAACATCTACTACCAAGCATGTACTATGCACGTTCCAGATCTTGGAAAACATTAGTATAGTTTCCTGGTGTTACTGCGTATAGCGTTTGGCTATACAAGAGGTACACAAATAGGTGCTTGAATGACTGCTGAATGAATGCGTTCATGGACTGATTCCTCCACAGACTGAACACAAGATACCTACATTCTGAGGAAAAGAGTGAAGAAATACAATGGAGTCACTATGGTCAAGCTGCTAAATGACTAAAATCAAGTATGCTGAGGCATGAAGGAATGATTCTACTCTTGTTTTAAGTAGTCTGAGAACTTCAACTTTAGAACTCTCGAGTCATGCCTGTAGATACAGATATACATATACACATAGACATACACATAGACATACATATGTACATCTAAATCCTATAACTAAACCTCCAATTATCCCCTGAAGGACTTAGGAAATAATGTTCAGGTGTCCAGACCCCTCAATGTTCATTATCCGGACCACCGGATACCTGTAAGATTATCATCTTGGACCAACCCAGAAGCTAAGAATGCAGGACTGAATCTTCTCAAGAATATACCTTTTAATATAAGAACTCTTAGCTTTTCTTTCTTCTTTGGAGCACTCTAAGTATTGCTGAGTTGTGTTTCCGACTTGCAAACCCTAAGGCCCTCGAATAAATATGATTTATTTCTAGCCAGAGCCTCCTGATTCATTTACACTCAGTGGACAGTTCAAAGAAGGGTACCTAAGCATAGGGCAGGCACCAAAGACGGCACCAGTGTATAAAGGGATACAGATGTTTATTCATTTTCCTTGTTGAGCTAGGAATAGTTAGGACTTTAATGTGTCACATTCATGATATAATTCAATCCTCACAGGAGATGACAAGAAGGAAGTTCAGAAACGTTCCTTTGCTAATAAATGGCAAAGGCAGGGTTTATCCTCGGACTGTCTGACTCTAAATATAATATGCCACTGTAATNAACGTTCCTTTGCTAATAAATGGCAAAGGCAGGGTTTATCCTCGGACTGTTTGACTCTAAATATAATATGCCACTGTAATCTCCTCCATTATTATTTTTGTCATATCAGATAGGAAATAAGATTGTCATAGCATCTCAGGATAAGTGGGAAATGTGTTTAAAGCTGGAGGCTTCAGGCCTGGGCTTCAGTCCCTACTGAAGAACCCAGTGGACCCTGATGGCCCCCTTAGTAACTTTCCACCCACTGACTCTTAATTCTGCTCAGCAGCTCTAAACCCCACCTGTCCTGACTATATTCAGAACTGAACCTGATCTCTCTCCCCTTGGTATAGTGCTAAATAAAGTATTCCTTACCATTTCAACAAGTGTCAGGAATTTTTTTTTCTTTAACACTGCATAGTAGAAACTCACTATGTAGGTGGAATGTAATGAAAAATATATATTTGGTCTTCGTCCCCAGTTCCTGGCACAGAGTTCCGAAAACCCTTGAATTTCCTGAGGGTTAGGAGTGCCTTTTGTTATTCACAGCAAGCCCCTTTCAACCATACCTGAGCTTATGCTAAGGAGGTGAGTCTTGGAGAAAGGGGGTCTGGTTGCCCCCAAAAAAACACCAAATGATTAGAGGATTGAAACCTTCACCACCTGGTACTTCTGTCCACCTCTGGGGAGAGGCGCAAAGCTAGATACTGAGTCCAAACATCAGTGGACAATGATTTAATCAATCATGCCCACATAATGACAATGCCATAAAAACCCTAAAAAAGAGTTGGAAGAGCTTTTGGAAATACCTTTAGCATAGTTAGAAGAGTCAACAAAATTTGGTACACTGAAACTTCCTAGAAAAAAAGAAAGAAATTTTAATGTACGCATGTTTGTCAAAATAAATTTAACTACCTATTTTTTTTTCAAATAACAAAGCATTTTATGATTTTTGAGAACTTATAACATATGCACAATTTAATATTCAATTCCATAATCAGAATTCAAAATATTATCCCTCACATCAGTGACATTTAACATTTGAAGTAATATGTAAAGTCATAAAAGGTTAAAAAATTAGGAAAAAATATGTATTTTACCACATATTACATGAAAGTTTGAGATATGCCTATGATTTTAAGGAGGAACATAAAAATTAAAACTATATAAAAAAATCTAATATCCTTTCTACATAAACAGTCAACTTTGCAAATCAGACCTTGCTAAAATACCTTGTTACCTTAAGTAACCATTGAATTATGTTGAAATATGCATTTCACTGTTTAAGATTTACGTTTAAAAAAATGTAAAGCCATCATGATGTCATAATAAAAGCAGACAGGTTTTCCTGCACTGGCTCTAGCACACCACATTGAAATGAAAGAGTCTCAACCCCCATCTTGGAGTCAAACAGGTCTGGTTTCAATCTCCGCCTTTCTGCCTCCAGCTATAAAAGTCACAACTGGTCAAAACTTTTATTGTTTTAGGCACAGGTCAATCAACAATTTTGTATTTTCTACTTGACTGAGGATTATAAGCAGCTTGATGTTTCCATGAATTCCAGTAAGATACAATGCCAAATAAAGGGGGGCTGTACAAATGATCTATGAAACCTTGAAACAGCTTCCCAGTATTTATGCCCGCCCCTAACTGGGAGTTTCCAATTCCTGTCGCCACCTCTGACCTTCCCTGGGGAAGGGGAGGCACCAGACTCACCAAGGTGGATGTAACCTTTCAGCTCATTTCATTGGAGCCGGTGAAAGCCAAGCACAGAAAAAATCCAATCAGATTTTCAAGGTCGAACATGTAGGGGATTGGACTTCCACTAATCCCTAGATTACATTTGTTACCATACAGTTTACTATACCAGTGCCATCCCCCAGCTCAGAAATATAAGCAAATGTGCGATTAGGTTTTAGATAATGTAGGGAATTTAAATGCTGTTTCCAAACCATGGACACCAAATTTCTGTCTGCCCAGGAGTTAATGTCACTTACAATGACTCTGTTGCTTCTGCCTTCATCCAGCACAGGACTTCCTAAGCAACAGCCACTTACCGTTCTAGCCTGCCCAANCTCTGTTGCTTCTGCCTTCATCCAGCACAGGGCTTCCTAAGCAACAGCCACTTACCATTCTAGCCTGCCCAATACATCAAAATCCACTAATCTGCTAAAAAGCAACCAAATAATCCTGGGATTTAAATGAGTTAAATTTCTAATATAAAATATTTGAGTGCGTAAATTTTCACTAAAACTGCTAAAATTCACTCACAGAATCAAACACATCTCGATTGGTGTTTTTCCTTTCTTTCANTAAATGAGTTAAATTTCTAATATAAAATATTTGAGTGCGTAAATTTTCACAAAAACTGCTAAAATTCACTCACAGAATCAAGCACATCTCGATTGGTGTTTTTCCTTTCTTTCAGCCACTTGCCCTACAGTACTTGGAAAGATGTGAAATACTACGTGCAAAGTTATTTACGGCACTCTTTATTAGTGAAATGCTGGGAACCTCTCCAAGTCCACCAACGGGGCCCAGTTACCTGAGCCAGGGCTCGCCATTCAGTAAGCGCACAGCTACCTTACAGCTCAGGAAGCTCTAGGTTCTGGGAGGAAAAGGTCTCCGCCAAGTGCACTGCTTAGTGCACACACACAGTGTAAACAGTAGGAGAATATACGTTCAGGTTCGCTCGACACACACAGAAATCTCTCCCTACTTATGTATAAGAAACTAATCACAGTGGTGAGCTAGTGGGCGCAGGTCCGGAGTGGAAATGAAACAGGAAAAGACAACTTTTCACCATATCTCTTTACACTGTGCTAAATTTTTGAACCATGTGGATATTTTACCCCTTTAAATGTACACAACATTAAATTTTTAAGCAGTTTTGTAGATTTTTTTTAAAAACTGAAATAGAAAAAAAGTAAAATTTGTACAGAGATGGCCATGCTTGTATTTGCATCTCGGCTGAAAATCCAGAGCTTCCCTCTCTTGACCCTGGGCTTTAAGTCCTGCGCGGACTTATTCTGCCACAGAATCCGCAATGGGGAATTTTCCTGGCCCGCCACCTCCCTGGAGCAACAGGTGTGTTTCTGAAAATCCCACGTAAAACAGTGTACCCCGAGAATGCAATAATATTTTAAAGGCAAAGGGGTTCACTTGAGGGGTGGGGGTGGGGACAGGCATCTACCCCAAGAACTACGATGGAGCTCGGGGAGGTTCCGGAGGGGCGCTGGGTGCTGCGAGCAGGGCGTGGGGAGTGCGGCAAACAGGCAGTTTAACGCAGTGAGCGCGGCCTGCAGGAAGGCGCTCGGCTTCGGAATTTGGGAAATTACTCCAAAAGCTGGCGCGTGCGTGCTGGGCCAAAGGATAAGGGATGAAGTCTGCAGGCAAAGAAGCGAGGACTCCTTCAGAGCAGGTAGGTGGCCCTGCGACACCAGCTCACGTCCCCTCCTCTGATTGGTTGTACATGGAGCTACGGAGACTCGCTGAGATGCCGCAGCCTATCGATCTCCCTTTCTCACTTTAGCAGCACAAAATGGAATAAATCAGACACGTGATGATGACAACACCCGGCACCAGTCAGCGAGTAAACAAGCAACTCAGAGGCGAACTCAACCCCCGGACCCGCGTCCCGGGCTCCTGCAGAAAGGCCGCAGGCTCAGGCTGAGCAGACGGCGGCCCCAGCACCAGGAGAAACGGCGCCAAAGCCCGAGAGGCGGCCAGGTCCGCAGAGTCCAGACTGAGGCCCGGGCAGCGCAGGGACCGACCGGGGAGGCGCCGCGAGCCACCGTCACCGCAGGCGGCAGGGGACGAGGGGGGACCTCGGGAAAGGCAGTCGGCGGCCGAGCAGAAAATGAACTGGGGGGGAGCTGAGTGGGAGACAGCAGGTGAGAACAAGGCCGGGCGGCGACCCGATCTGTCCCATGGACCACAAACAGGGACTGAAGAGGAGGGCTTGTCGCTATCTGACGTGGACAGAGGGGTGAAAGCCAGGGAGGCAAACCCTTCGCCTGCAGAGAAAGCGGGGAGCCTCCTGAACGCCCAGTGAGCACACCCCGGCGACAGGCCTGGGCTCCCCTCCTCTCTTCTCTGTCCTGCACCCCACGCTGTCCGCAGGTTCCACGCTCCACGCCTCAGGCTCTTGAATTTGTTCCCCAAGGTGGGACATGCCTGTGGACGTGGGCCCAGCAGTGTCCTCCTCCTTGGTGTCTGTGCCTAAAGTGCCGAGTTCAAATTCCCAGGCTAATTAACAAAACCACAGCATTCTGCTACGGCACTCAGCATGGGTGTAGAAGACACTTACGGTGTCTCCAGCAGCCAGTCAGTCACCCGCCCAGCCCCTCCCGCGGCGCGTGGCCCGTGGGGGGCTCTCAGGCGCCTGCGACAGGGATGAGTGTGAGAATGGCTCGCCGTCACTACCCACACACGAGCAAGCAGCGTTAGCTCTTCTGTGGTATTTTCACTGCTTCCACTCATGATCCTGACAATACTCCAGGAAGGCTGAGCGTTATTCACATTTCAGCCATGGGAAAAGTTAGAAAATGTACTGCTAAGAGTCACACAATCAGCAAGAAACACAACCGAGATCCAAACTCGAGACTAAATCCAGGACACTTTCTGACACATCCCAACAACAGGTCGTTAGACCATCTCTTCCCCTAACAACCCAGTCAGCCTGTACTACACGGCGCTGCTACACAGGAAAGGAAATACCCCTACACGACAGGCCCGAGAAGGGTGTGTGAACCAGCTGATGAATTCCCATCGGACCCCCCAGAATGGACCCCTTCGCATCGGAGCTGCCAGGGAGGAACCCTAATGCCCTGCTGCTCTGCCGACTCCAGGAGCCTGACAGAATGGAAGGAAGCGAGAACAGTCTGTTCCTTCCCTGGGTGCACGACCCAGGGGACAGGACTCCAGAAGGACGCAGGTGGCACTCCACCTGAGTAACCTGCGGAGAGCTTCATTAGGGGCTGTGCGAAGGCGTGGATAGCCTAAAACAGCAGCAGCCAGGCTGTGCATTACTCCCAGGCTAGTTAGGGAGGGAGGTGTCGCGGCCCCGAGGCATGAAGCTGTGGGGGCAGGAACCGAGAGAGACTAATCGCCAGGACAGGGGTACAGACTTCCAGAGACAGCGGCCAACCCGTGGTGACCGACAGGCAGGAAGCCAGAGAGAACACACTCTGATCTCACTCCCCCTGCCTGCTGACCTTCTGCTGGCGACCCCCCTGGGCAGGCCAGAGGAAGGGGTGTGCCCACCAGTCCCGAGCATCCCCATCAGCCTCCTGGGCACAGAGCGGGGAGGCGGGGGAAAGAGGACCCTGTAAACAAAAGCAGCCCCCAGCCCTGAGCCTTTGGGAAAGTGAGGGACTCTAAAAAGTGTCTGGTGCCTGCTGGGCATCCAAGAGTTTTCACGCGAGGTTGCCACGTGGAATATTACACAGCAAGACACTGAAAAGGAGTGAAGCTGTGCTCGAGACCACTTAGGACACCAGTACTAGTTAAGTAATTATTGTGGTTCCCTGTTGACAGTGATTCACCAAGTACAGGGCTGTGTGATGCTAATGGCAGGAGCCTGCCAAAGGTCAGACAGTTAACAGTCAGCCAGACCCAGAGCGAACCGAACCGAGAAGTCCAATTTTAACAAGAATGAGAGCACCTCCTCGCTCGACATTCGGAAACCTGTTTCTAAGTAATACAGCAGCCCACCTGGCCGATTTAAACTGATCTTAGAAGAGAGATAAACCGTGTTCACAGCCCTTGTAAATTCTATTTGACAGATTACTAAAATGTTCCAGGGCGGCTGGTCAGAAAAGAAGATTTTTAACCTCCAACATGACAAACGTACTCA